AAGACCTGGTCCCTCTGAGCCTGGCTGTGAACACCTGTTTGTAAATAATGGAGTTTCTCGGCTTAAGGAGCAGCTGGGGCAGGGTGGGTCCTTCCCAGCTCGGTGACATTTTCATAGCATCCTTGCCCACGTGGCCTGGGGCAGCTCCCATGTCAGCATCTCTGGACACGTGGGTCACACCTGGGCTCTGGCTGGTCTGTCCTGCTCCTCCCGGTTCCTCTCTGGGGAGCTAAATCTCACCCCACACCTAGAGGCGATTCCCATGCTTTGTCCTGGTCTAAGGATCAGAGGTTTGGGGACGCGTTCTCTCTGTGACCACAGCAGTTAACTAACGCTGCGTTATCTTAACTCCACGGCTTCTACCGGGGGCCAGCAGAGCGTCTCTGCTCGTTGACTGAATTGGTTCCTGCTTTAGCCACTCGCTCTTCCCAGGAGTCCATCTTACCGGGAAGCTCCTCTGAACAAGCCTGTCCCTGGTGATGGCTGTGCCCGTGTCTTCCCGCAGGTCATGTTCTAGGGCCCAGGAGGAGGTCAGCCGGTTTCTCTGCAGAGGCACCTCTTGATTCGAGGCCTGGAGGGTGCAGAGGGCCTGGGCTGGGGGTCTTAAGGCCAGATGTCTTCCTGAAGCCCTGGCCACGCGTGGGCGTGGACAGGGTTGGCCCTGCCTGCTCCCGGGAGGGTCTCTGCATTGACCTGGCGTATCCCTGAGCATCCCGCCCAGACTCCATTTGGAAAAAGGGGCAAAGGCAGAGAAGGAAGGCGGTGGGGTCTGACAGCAGGGGCTGCAGCCCGAGCTCCCGGTGTCACTCCACTCTGCAGGAGGAGAGGGCCGCCGTTGCCAAAGCAAGACGCTTCCTGGAGTCCAGGGGGCCCCTGGCCACAGATCCCTACAGCCATGCTCTGACCGCCTACGCGCTGACCCTGCTCCGCAGCCCCGCAGCCCCTGAGGCCCTGCGCAGACTCCGCAGCCTCGCCATCACGCAGGGTAGGTGTTCCCTGGCCACCAACCCGGAGGCCACCATGTGGGACAGCCCACTCTGAGCTCTTGGACACTCACGTGCAACTCAGGAGGAGTCTTAGCTCACTCTCGATGGCTTTGCGTGTAGAATGGTCCACCCGGGAGCGCGCCAGCCGGCCACTCGGTTCGATGCAGTGTTTTGTCCAAGGTTGGGCCTGCCTGAGCGCTTTCTAGGCCTGCGAAATGGGGGATGCTGACCCCCAGGGAGGGCAGTGTGTGTGGGTCTTCGACAGGAGATCCCCCATACTTCTGACCCTGGGCAGGCGGAGGTAGACCCCCATTCTCCCCTCCACTGGTGGGTGAGCCCCGGGAAGGAAGCATTTCCATCTTTGGGGT